CAACCACTTGGCCTTCATAGGCGTATCCGGGAGAAACACAAGAGTAGCCAGACCAATGGTCACAGTGATGAGACCAAGAGTGATGAACATGATGCGCCACCCCGCGAGCGACGCATCAGGCCCAATATGCTGGAAGCCATACGAGACAAGCCCACCGATGATCTGTCCGAGACCTAGACCGAGGTACCAGAACGAGAATCGAGGAGCTTGCTCTGATTTGGTGTACCATTGGCTGCTGATAAGCATCAAGGATGGGCCAATGGTGGCTTCGAAGATTCCTAGGAATACGCGAGAGACAAGAAGGGTCTGGTAGTTGTGCGCAGCAGCTCCGGATGCTGTGGCAATACCCCAAGCGATGACATTTGCTCCAAGCCATTTTCCAGCTGGAATCATCTGAAGGAAGTAGACTGAGACGCGTTAATAAGAGACTTTGCGGAGGGCAAGACAAACTCACTGTTGGGGATCTCAAAGCAGAGAAGGCCAACGAACAGAAATGTCGCGATGTTGGAGAAGTCGTTTCCCTGCAGCTTGAGATCTTGATTCAGACCCATTACAGCGGAATACTGCAACATCGTCAGCGTGTACTCCCATATCAGAATACGTTGCACTTACGTTGAGAATGACCTTGTCAAGGAACTGCATCGTATAGCAGCAAAACATCAACGGAACAATATGCCAATCAATCTTGCGCCTCATCCTGTCAATATCAACAGCCTCCGAAGCCCCCGCCGCATCGCGATTCTGGTCAAGAAACTTCCACGCTGCATCGACATCCCCAGCGCCTGACTGCGACGAGAGAGTCACCTGGACCTCCTTGTTGGGAGTACTCGGGTGAGACATGATGAAAGAACGTGATACTAGATAAATGCGCGATACAGAATGGGAGGGTGATGAAGTGAAAAGAAAACAATAGCTATCAGGAAGAGAAAAAAAGAATGGTGCTCAAAAAAAGTGCAGATTGGCGAAGATGTTGCAGATCCTACAACAAAGCCGAGTTAAAACTCTACAGGAAAAGAAGGTGGAAAAATCCCTTGCTGGAAGATTGGGTGATATCGGCCACACAACTTAATCTGAAACTCCTCCGGCATCGCGTAACGCAATGCGACATTGTAAGAGAAAAAGACCTCATGCGAAATTTCCGATCTATGCAGTTGGTCGCAAGGACGAGATGCAAAAAGTACCCTGCAGAGTGTTGGTTACACCCATGTAACATATGCAAGGTAGGGTTGGAGTGCAGACGCTGGTCAAGACAGCGTTCTATGAGTGGAAGGATCTGCTCCATGTGCAAGGGAGGGATTGGTTTCGTAGTGATATACGAGTTATTAGCCGTGGTTGCGCATGAAGTTTGTGATTCTGGCTGAATGGACCCAAGTAATAGAGATAATGCTCTTCATGGTTTATGTAACGAGTTGTGTTGGTAAATGGACCCTGAGCGCATGTCGCAGAGTTCTGCAAAGGCACACGTAATGATAATGGGCATGCGTCTCCGACACAGGCGCGACAGGGCTTGTAGGTCTTCATTTGCGAGGGCAAGCCGAGTTTGGGTGTGGCTTTTCTCTGTATTAGCCCTTTTGCCTGTGTGGCCAGATTTGCAGATTAGAGGTGATTTATCTAACCGAATTTACTTTGACTTTATTCTCTTTTTTAGTTAATACAATTGCTTTGACCTCTCGACTTTTCGTTTGTCTTGATCCCTAATCTTCATTTTGGTTACATAGCGGCACAATGGGCTGGGTCCTAAATGCCACCCCCGAAGTGAACGACTCCTCCGAATACCCAACAATCATCGCAATTACCGTCGTACTCTCGATCCTCGCATCTTCAATCGTGGGCGCAAGACTCTGTATACGATGGAAGGCTCGTGGCCTCGCCGGTGATGACTGGATGTCAGCATTGTCGATGATATTCGCCTTGATCTACTCCTCCATTTGCATCGCACGTAAGTTTGAACCACCTATTCTGATGATACATACCTGACAAAGTTTAGAGACAAGATATGGCCTTGGCCTTCCTATACCCGATCGACCGAAGGAGAATTTGATACCATATACACGAATCAATTTCGCAGGCCGACCATTCTATCAGCTCGGTATCAGTTTCTTCAAGATTGCTTTGTTGATTAGTTACCTGCGTCTACTGCGAGGAACAGACCACAAGATCTATCGCACGGTCATCTGGGTGACCATCGCACTGGTCTTTGCTTCGCATCTTGGATGCACCCTTGCGCTGATCTTCGCCTGCAAACCCGTACGTATACTCTATACTTCAAAAATCAGAGACTTACACCATATAGGTCGAAAGGTCTTGGAACCCGCTCATGGAAGGTAAATGTCTTGCAGCAGGACCATCATTTACTGGCTATGCGGTCGTCACCATCGTGGCCGACGTCGTGGTCGCAGTCCTACCAATCCCAGTCTTGGCGAAGCTCGAAATCAAACTTGCGAAGAAGATCGGCCTTATTGTGATCTTTACGCTGGGTATATTCACAACTATTTGCTCAGTCCAAAGATACCGGCAGATTGACCGGATCCAAAACCCCAAAGACGGCAATTCAACCATGCTGGTACTTTGGGGCACCATTGAGTTCAACGTTGGAGTGAGTGATGTCGTCAGAGTCAACATGCGCTATACTGACCTTCTCCCAGAACATCGTATCGTCACTGCCGTTTCTCGCCCCCATTTTCCTGAAGAGGGCTCGGCAATACAGATCGAAGCCGTCGGACTACAATATGCCAAGCCATAGTAAAGGATTGAGGAGTAACGGATATAAGCTCAAAGATCTCAGTAATACTGGGAAGCGGGATACATCACTATTTACTACAGCTGGAAATGATTCAGGAACTGGAAGTCAGGAGAATATCTTGGGTCACGGCGGTGGTATAGTCAAGTCAGTTACGTACACGGTGCAGGTCGATAGAGTGGCTCAGACGAAAGGCGAAAGCCAAGAGTCGGCCATCGCACGAGTATAGAAATGAGAAAACTCAGAATTTTCGCGGCAATTGTTTTCTTCAAAGCTTATTCAAATTGCAAATAAATTTTGTTCAAAACTTGTGTCAAAAACATCTGATCTGAGCCAAACTCGGCAGCTGGTTAAAACCCTGACGGTATCTGCACCACCCTGGCACCGTGGACTGCCACTGCAGGGATAGCCCCCTTGTTCCGGGACCTCCCCGAGCCGACAGTCCCGACAGGGAGATCATCACAGTTGAGCAGGCACATGCTAAACGACACGGAGATATTATGCTTTTTCGGCTGTTACCTTGTACGAATGGGAGGCCCGTCGACAGCCGATGAGGGCGAGGAGAAGGTACGAATAGTACGGAGTACATGTACCTTACATAAGACTGCACTGCCGGGTAAATAGATCTGACGGATGATGAAACCTGCACAATTTCTTCCAAAACCACTTGCGACGTATATCAAAAGAGTTCTCAGCGTCATGTCCGCGAACCAGGATCAGCCAGTCCTCATCATCGGCGCCGGTATCAGCGGCCTTCTCTTAGCACAGAGCCTCAAACAGCACGGTATTCCAGCCCGAGTGTTCGAACGCGACACCGATCTTGAAACTCGTGGTGCAGGCTGGGGGCTTACCCTCAACTGGTCTCTTCCCGCCTTGCGATCATTGCTACCAGGAGATCTAGTCGACCGTCTCCCGGAAGCTTATGTCGACCAATCGGCTGTTGCAGAGGGCTTGTCTTCAGCATTCCCTTTCTTTGACCTGAGTACGGGTGACTTGATAGCTTCAACGCCGAAAGCACCTGAGTCAAGTCGGATTAGGGTTACGAGGCAGGGTCTGAGAGATATCTTGGCCACTGGGATTGATGTCGAGGTAGATGGGACCGGGAATCTTCTAATTTTGTGCTACTGACATTCTGTTCTAGTGGAGCAAGGCACTAAAGGGAACAACATCCAGCCCAGAATCCATCACCGCGACATTTGAAGATGGCACTACCGCAACCGGATGTCTACTAATTGCATGTGACGGAAGTCACTCCCGAGTCCGCCGCTCACTTTTCCCTGAATGGGATATGTACGACATTCCTGTTCGTATGCTCGGTATGAAGTTGGAATTGTCGCCAGAAAAGATCAAGCCGATTCGGGATCGGGATGCTTTCTTTCTTCACAGCACAAACTCCAAAAATGACCTATTTGTGTACATGAGCGGTAGATATCACTAAAAACACTGTAAGAATTGAGCTAATCGTTTAATAGTGCTTGATGCACCTGGAAATCATGAGGGTAGCGCGCATCCATACGTTCTTCAGGTCTGTGTATCGTGGCCATACCGTGAGGGGTTCTTCGGCAGTTCAACACCAATTGAGATTCCCGAAACACCTGAAGAAAAATACAAGCTAGTCAAGACCTTCGCAGAGACGTGGGCTGAGCCATGGCGCTCTCTCGTTTTGGGTATCCCGGCAGACACAGAGATGAAAGGCCTCAAGATCCAAGATCTTCCTCCGCCGAAGGACTGCCAGACAAAGGGCAGAGCGATTCTCATGGGAGATGCCCTTCACGCTATGGCAATGTGTAAGCTCTCCTAATCCACAATGCTTGCCTGAGATGACTAACAGTACAGACCGAGGGGAGGGTGCGAACCATGTCATTCTCGACGTAGAAGACTTCGTACAGCGAGTTGTTCCGGTTCTGAAGCGAGGTGGAGAAGTGGCAGATTTGAGAGCGGTTCTAGATGAATATGAGAAAGCTGTCGTCCAGAGAACTCGTCCAGCCGTGTTGGCATCGAGAAAGGCTTGTATGGATGCACACAACTGGAAGATGGTCAGCGAGAAAAGTCCTCTGTTGACGAGACGCATGCCGTATATCGAGTTTGAAGAGGATAATTAGTTTCAACCAGAGAGGTATCCTTACCACAGAGACAAATAAGTTTTAGTACCTGGCGATATAATGATTACCAGAAAAAAAATGTTTGCTGTTCAACGCCCCTCGTCTTCCACAGGGTCCGTATATAAAGCAACTTCTGCTCACAATATCCACAACTCAATGGGGCGCTGGCGCAATTGGTAGCGCGTCAGATTCCAGCAAAAACCAAATTGCCAAAAACCTGAAGGTTATCCGTTCGAGTCGGGTGTGCCTCATTGCTCTTTTTGTTTTGTTGTTGTGTGTTGTTTGTATGATGTCTGTGGGTCATTCTATCACGAAATCGCATAACGTCGCCTCCTTGTGAGACAAAGCTCTAGTGGCTTTGAGTTACACTAACGATTATTGAAATGCCTTCTAGTGATTGATTTAAGTGGGGACCTGTAGAGTATGGTAGTTTTTAGCTGTATACTTAGATATTTTCGAAGATTTTATTAGATGCGTCTTGGTTCTCACATCTGCTAATGATGCTTTAGATTGGCACGTGCCGGTTGAGGCCATGGGTGGCCCAACAACAAGACAACGCCAAGTAGAGTAAGCCAAATTATGATTGACATATTTGTTAAGAGTAAGAATCATGCACATGCCGGGAATATCTCACCATTGAATTCTATGTCCTCTCCCGTCTAGACAGATGTCCCACTTAGCTTGACCCCACTAGGAGATGAGATCCCCCGAACACCATTTTCCTAAAGAGGAAATTCACGACTGAACAAACTAATAACCCGCAGAAACGCATGAACCGCAGGAATCTATTGGCAGATGTTACAGACATAATGAGACTACCCACTACCGAGATACTCAGCTTGGGTGCCTCATATCGGTGTTCGGACAATTACGTATTCCCGAGTAGGAAAAATCATATGTCAGAAGGAAAATAGCCAGGTGCTTGGGGTGTATAAGAAGCTTCAAGGAGTCCTGTTTTGATTCTCATTGTTACCAAGTATTAATTACAAACAACGTTTGATATCACAGCCATGGCCGATACCCTTAGTCTCCAAGGCAAAGTAGCCATCATCACCGGCTCAGGCCGAGAGAATGGCATTGGTGCTGGAATTGCCCTTGCCCTTGCTCGTAACGGCGCCTCAGTCGTAGTCAACTACGTGTCTGACTCCACCAAAGATCGTGCCGAAGTTGTTTGTAGCAGACTCCGCGAAGCAGGTGGACAAGCCATCGCCATTCAAGCTTCCGTTGATACTAAGGAGGGAGCTCAATATCTCGTCGACAAGACACTTGAGGGTTTGAAGACCGATCATATTGACATCTTGGGTGAGTTATCCATGAGAAGTTTTGTTGATGGATCTAATTAGTATTAACAACAGTCAATAATGCGGGAACCGCGCACTTCTGCCCCATCACTGAGGAGCCTAACGTTGACGAGTTGACCAAGGTCTTCCAACTCAATGTCCTTGGCGCTTTTTTCATGGTCCATTACGTTATTTCCCACATGCCCCCCGGCGGTCGCATCATCAACATCAGTTCCACGAACTCTAAGAGAGGGAATGTCAACATCTCTTCTTACGCAGCATCCAAGGCCGCTTTGGATAGCTTGACTTGGACTTGGGCAGCAGAAGTGAGTAATTTTGACTTGATGGCTATCTTCGGATACAATTATTAACATATGTTCATAGCTTGGCCGCAGCAAGGGCATTACCGTTAACTCTGTAGCCCCCGGCCCAGTCATCACAGACATATATCCCAAGGGTATGGAGGAACAGTTGTCGGCGGAGGAGGTTTCCCTTACTAGAGCTGCGGACCGAGCAGGAACGCCTGGCGACATTGGTGATGCTGTGCTTTTGTTGGTGAATGAGAAGTCCAGATGGATCACAGGACAATACATTGGTGCCAGTGGAGGAGTAACAAATTAGTTTACCTTTCATTTCTCAAGGTTTCTACTTCATAGATGCTTCAAACTATTTTCAACGTCAGATCGAAGTTGCTCCATATCTGATAATGCGATCTTCTCAATCCACACAACCCGCCGTAAACAGGACATCAAGTCCGACCAAGACCTTAGTCTGAGTAGTGACATGACCTGGACTACCTGGTCCACGAGCCATAACCTCGAAGAGCCCATCTCTATGCAGGAGTGTATGACTAATACCCATAACTTAAGTTCCTGTCGCCCGGTCCAGACGTTATCGCTGATCTGCGTAAGTAACAACTTGACCGGAGCCTTTCGACGAGACGCAACGTAAATAGCTTCACCCGACGTCTGGGTCACGACTATGGCAAAGAGTGAGAGGGAAGATAAGCGTATGAGCTCTGCTACTCCTGAAATAGGCCATGAGCTATCCATGTCGCTTTTTGTTGTGGAATAGTCCATTCGAGGTAGTGACAGCACTTGATGTGCCACGGTGCACGATGGAATGAGAAGATCCAGTTTCATCCGACTGTTTTGACAAACATCAGTCAACAGCGTGGCAAGCTGCGACGCCAATTGGAGAGAGCTATCGATAATAGCTGAGGGCGTTTTACTATGAGGCTCCGAGTCCCGGAGTGAAACCAATAGCCTTTGGACGTATCGCGACCGTGAGACTCTGGGTAAGGCGAAAGTGCTTCCAGGTAACGGGAACCTCGGTCTCGCATCTTCAAGCACAGAGCCGAGTACGTCGGCACTACAGCGGCCGATTAGTGGACGATTTCTGTAAGTTTAGGGTCTCTCACATAAACAATGATTGTCGTATAGCAGGCCTAGAGTCTAGGACTTCAACACCCCCAGCCAGCTCAACTATTCGTTCGAGTCCAGCCATATGCATCATCCACGAATCCGATTTTCCTACACGCATCTACTCAATTAGTAACTGACCAGCTCCCGACATCTGGAACTCACATCAAATACGGCAAGACAAATCACCGTACCGATGACAGCGTTCTGGCATGCCTGGCTTTCCGGTCTGATGGCCTTTCGTACTAGGCTCACAGACTCCGTGTACTGCTCAATCTCATCAAAGGTTTGAAGGTCGCCGAGGCCCTCAGCAAGCCTCTTCTGCAGCTTACGAGAGGGGTCAATGACCGCGATGGAAAGAAGTCCTTCGGAGACCATGTCCATAGCCCAAAATAGCCTCCTGAAGTTGACACAAACTTTCACATCGCCCCAATACACTGGAATTGACACTGAATTGTTTTTTGGCGTTGCTGTGGTCTCTAACTGGATGGCACCTAATCTTCTTGAGCGTCCGATGTCTTTCATCACATGTCGACGGACTTTGCGCTGTGTGGTTTTGTCTTTGGCTTGTGCTGGGTTGTTGACGTGGACGAAGGCTAGGCTGGATGGTTTGTTCTCGAATTGAGGGCGCTTCTGAGGTTGAGGAGTCTCTGCCAGCTTAAACCTGATTTCCATTTTCGCTGTCGGCAGATATATGATCGTCTTTGTCTACTTATCGTGAGATGTTGAGATAATCTCAGAGTAATCCTTCGAACGCCAACAGTTTTATTCTTAGCTTACTGAGACGGGATTGGAATTCGTCCGGCAAGGCGATTATGTCATCTGGTATGATCCACTTTACGGCCTCAACAGATTGGGTAGGTGGCATGATGATCTCTCACCGTTAATAGACTGGCGTAATGATGGCATCCTGGCACCGATAAACATGGCATGAAAACTGCCGATTTTCGCTTATTCCACGATGACAATTCGAGTGACAGACACAGAGGTGTTGGGGCGTGTGCTTTTAAATTGACACGAATTTATCAAATTCTAGTTCTAAGATCATCCTACTTTCACGCTAGAAATATTGAGACTATCTCTTTACCTATCTGCAGCGCGATATTCTAACCTGACCCTCTACTAAGTCACCCTGCGCAGTATTAAAGTATCTCAGCTTGTGAGCCTTGGTGTTCTCCAACTATCAACAGGTTGATCTTGTCAACTCATTAACTCCTATCAATACTGCGCGGAGTGAAGAAACACCAGTCATGCAATGGCAATTCTTTTCAGAACAAATCTCAATCATACACCGACATGCGAGACAACAGCATACCCGGGATCCGATTTCATCACGGCACTATCCCGCCTAGAATTTGGTAAATAGACGGGTCTGGGCACAATTATTGAAGCCATAGTAGCGAAACTAGCGATATCTTTCCTCCTGCCTCCTCGGAAGCTGACACTCTGGACGACCCTATTCCGAGGAACCTCCTCCAGTTAAAGTTACCCGAAAACACGGACCCCTTCTTATCCCAAGCCCCCAAGTCTCAGTTTTATGGAAGCAGTATAGCGGCAATCTCCTAGCATGACCACAAGGGATGGAAGGGGAATAGATCCCAATCGCGGGGAAAGTTACTTTGCCCCCACCCAATGGGATAGCCTGGAAGAAGCTGACAAGCCGATGACATATGCCGATAGTCACCTTGTTTCTACTGTAGCTCTGGTCTTCCGAGGATTGCTCCAGTTCCCCGGATTTCCAAAACTCCGGTTTTTGCAGTGAAGCAGTCTAGGCCAGTCTACCCCGGATCCGACACCAAGACCCCGCTCGTGGCGCATTAAGCATACGAGCGATCGATTGAGCCCTTGCTCAATAGCTAACTACCGAAAGCCTATAAATCAAGCTATCCCAGGAACCTGGTTCCAGTCCTACCCATCCTTCTTCAGCTTCATCTTGTTTAATATGGAACACAGCACGAAAAATGAGAAGTTACAGCATGGAGCGGATACTTCGTCTAACTTGACGGATTCGGGTGGCGGTACGGTGGAAGGGTTCGTGACTCGCGTTTTTCTTCCCCCCCTTGTTTTAGAAAGGCAGATCTGACTGTGGGGGTAGTGTCGAGAATGCCCATTTCTACATCGATCCGAAAGCTGAAGCTCGGCTTCGTCGGAAGATTGATTGGATGATCGTGCCGACGGTCTGCTTGCTGTACCTCTTCTGCTTCATCGACCGAGCAAACATCGGTATGTTATCGCATTTCATTACCCCGTCTCAGAATTAACGCGCCTTCAGGAAATGCCCGTCTTGCCGGCCTGGAAGAAGATCTCGGAATGAAGGGAAACGACTACAACCTCGTCCTCTCCGTCTTCTACATCAGCTATATCGTCTTCGAGATCCCCGCGAATCTGCTTTGCAAATACATGGGTCCTGGCTGGTTCATTCCTCTGACTTCACTCGGCTTCGGACTCTGCTCCATCTTCACGGCGTTTGTTTCGAACGTTCCTGAAATCTGCGGCGTGCGCTTCGTCTTGGGTATCTTTGAAGCGGGCATGCTGCCGGGAATTGCATAC